TTTGAATGCAACTCCCAAGGAGATGATTGTTGGATAAACTCCTCGACCAACAGAGGAAATTCTTGTGTAGTTGTCTGTTTGCTTTCTTTTTTCCTCTTTCTGGCTTTTTGTTTATCGAGGGCAGACGAGCAGAAGCCCATTCGTTCTCCCTTCTTTGCCCAGTTGCGGCTTGAGCATCACCGGAAATTGAGTTTGTCTAAATGTTTCGCTCAGACGTCCTGCTACGTTGTTAGGAATTACACTTTCCAGCCAGATGCAGCATGTTCTCATTAAAGACGGTTACAGTTGGGCCCTGCTTTTATGGACGAATCTCCCAACGACCTCCAGCTGCCTCCAGTTCACATTTTAACCGTCACATTTTGATTTGAGAAACCTGAGTGACCCCAGAGAGCACACAGAGTAGATTACACTGTCTCCCCCTCACTCACCCACTCACTCACTCGCAGCCTTTGTTTGGATTCACTTTGTTAGTGAGGATTAGGATATGAATGATAAGGGTGAATATTTCCCTGTCGTCATAGCACCATGATTATATTCAGGTGGCTGTATTTAAATATTTTTATCAGAGTTCTGGGTAGGCATTGTACGGTGTGACTGTATAGCTGCTCTTCCATTGACAGCCTTAAAAAAAGCGTTTCATGTGGTGAAATATGCAACACTTGAGTTCAGTTTTTGGACTTTTGTTCATAATAGATGTGGTTTGGTTTTAAAGTGACGCATCAATTTGTTGGATGAGGAACTTAAGTTCAAAAAAAGACAGAGATTCAACCTCCTGATAACAGTAGTTGTTAGGGAAGTGTAGACAAGACATCACCATATCCTGTCCACACAGGCCTTGCTTAATTCCTTAATAGGTCGTTCTTATTCCATTAATCCGAAAAAGTAAATCTACAAGATGTTAATTTTTATTCCCTTTTACTTTTAAAATTACGTCCTTCTGGTTGGTTTGGACATTCACTGATTTTTGTTGCAACAGTCGCTGAAAACAGGGTGACAAGTTCTTTCCCCCGACTTGTGTCGTTGTGTCATTTCCTTCTCTTCCTGTTTTATGATGGAGGACGACAGACAACTTCGGGTGACTTAAAGTTGAATAAATGCATGACTAAAGTTCTTCCTGTTTTTTTTATTTTTCCTTTGCAGGCAGAGGGTGAGGTAGCAGCTCTTAACCGTAGGATCCAGCTGGTGGAGGAGGAGCTGGACCGTGCCCAGGAGAGACTGGCCACAGCGCTGCAGAAACTGGAGGAGGCAGAGAAGGCTGCAGATGAGAGCGAGAGGTCAGTTTCTTATTCGCGTTAGACACAAGTGGAGAAAAAGAACATGTGTTATCTAGTTCACCTGACTTTCACAAAAGCAAGTCTGTCCTCTCCTCACGCCGTGTCCTGTCATCCCAGAGGAATGAAGGTGATTGAGAACCGAGCGATGAAGGATGAGGAGAAGATGGAGATTCAGGAGATGCAGCTGAAGGAGGCCAAACACATCGCAGAGGAGGCCGACCGCAAATACGAGGAGGTGATTCTGACAGTGACGGCTTTAAGTGCAAGAGAGAAATTCCCTTATTCAGATCGTTAATAGCCTCTTAGTGTTTTGAGTTTAAAATATTTCTCTTTTTCTGTCTCAGGTGGCTCGTAAACTGGTGATCTTGGAGGGCGAGCTGGAGAGAGCTGAGGAGAGGGCCGAGCTCTCAGAATGGTAAATGCAATAAGCGCACAAATGCATAAATCCTTTGACTCACATACAGATGCATGGTCTCTTGTGCGGCTCTCGGATTAAAACAAAGTATGCGTTGAATTCTCCTTACAGTAAAGCCAGTGACCTAGAGGAGGAGCTGAAAAATGTGACCAACAACCTGAAGTCCTTAGAAGCCCAGTCTGAGAAGGTACAAGACGGACAGAAATGCATTGACACGTTAAGAAGTAATAATTCTGCTTTGGCTTTCTGGAGATTGGTGATGTTTTTCCAAACAAGAATCTTCCAAATATAGAAAAAAAAACCGAATTTAACCAAGAAAAGAAGAAAAAAAGGTTTCCTGTCAAAATGCATCAATGTGATTTGTGAAAATCTAATAATATGACAAAACAAACTAAAACTTTAGGCAGTTGCTTTCATTGTCTTTCACAAACACAAACAGAAAAACTAAATATATATACTGAACACTAAGTCTGGCACCATGCACACACAATCCTATCATTAGGGCTTTACTCATGGCTCGGTGCACCGTAATTTGGGTGAGCTGTCCTCAGAGAGGGAGACCACATGGCAAAGGACTGTTTCATACTACCTCCATTATAACTGT